ACATCTGCACTCCCACAAGCGGATGAACTCGACCTATTACCTTGCTGCAATTTAATCCCACAAATTTTTAGCCTCAAATGNCAATGGCAATGCCTAGTGCTTCCAATACATCTGCACTCCCACAAGCGGATGAACTCGACCTATTACCTTGCTGCAATTTAATCCCACAAATTTTTAGCCTCAAATGTCCACAGTTTTTAGTGAAATTAAATAACTTTGGACAACAAAAAAGAGCTCTGTCAACCTTGGCTACTTTTGCACCACAAGCTGCAGCAAGTATTGAAGCACCTGTTGAGATATTCACCGTGTTTGCACCATCCCCTCCTGTTCCAACAATATCAACCACGTCGCTTAAGCCTTCCACTTGTCTGCAATGCTTTATCATTGCCCTTGCCAATCCGACTACCTAATTATTATCACTAGCTCGATTAATGAAGGAGCGAATAAAGACATTCTGGTTCTGTGAAATCAGATTCATAGGCAGAGGATTGTACATCTAAATGGAAGCTTTAGATTATATTTTAAATTAGGGTCTGTTCTTCAAAAAGCATAGAATTTTCTGAAAAAAAATTCATCAGAAAGGAAATACTGTACTAAAATATTTATTTCACCTAAGTTATGATTCAAAGGGTATACATAAACCTTTACTAATATGGGAATAGTTAAAGAAGGAACTTACTTCTTCAAAGGTTTCACCTTTAGCTCTCAAAAGAACAAGAAAAGCACTAATTAAAGCTTCATCAGCACCATCCAACAAATAATCAAGAGATTCTTCTGCTTCATATTCCGTCAAGTCTTTCCCACTAATTAAATCCTCGATCAACTGAACCAATCAAAAAAAAGGAACAAACTTTAATCACAATAAGAAAAACCCAATTCAGCATTGTATTTGAAAAAAAGAAAAAGCATCCTTGTTTATTACCTTGCTAAAGGTGGATATGGATGACTGCTTATTGGAGGAATTGGTCAAAGCATAATGAAGAGTTGAAAACTTTTTTTGGGTGATATTGGCAGGTGGGTTACTTCCAAGAAATAATTTAGTAAGGTCTCTTTTTGCAGAAAGAGATGCAGATGCTGAAAACGGAATGCGGCTATGAAACAGAGCCATGTCTTTAGCTTCTTTAATTTAATGAACTGAAACTGAAGAAACTAGACTGTGGAGTAATAAATATGGGGAAGGAAATTGAGTTCGGAATATCAATCATATCAAATTAAACTGCCTTGTGCGTATTGTAAAAGCACGTGATTTTTGCCGAGAATTACTCCCAAAAATTCAAAATAAAATAATTTTACTTTGTGTGCAATTTTTTAATTTTCGGAATTGGTTATAGCTGTCGTAATCGGTTAATTGATTAGGATTTGGATATAGCTGATGGGGTGTTATGGTAATTTCAAATTATTTCAGGGGTAAAATGGGAAACGAGCCTTAATTTTGAGTGCTCCGTCCACTAGGCATTAATAATATTACAATAGTACATGGTGGGGGAACAAGACATAATGAAGTGAGAATAATGCATTTGTTTAATATAGTGGGGGACAAGACATAATGAAGTGAGAATAATATATTTGTTTAATATAGTGGGGGACAAAACATGTAGGCATGGGGAACAAGGGAATTAAATAAGAAAAACATTAAGTAGTGGGGGCAAGGCATGCAATTATGGAAATATTTCGGGTTAGTGGTTCAAGACAAGAGTCTTGGTTATAAATAGAGTCATTTTTTACACATTGTAGTAGGAGAAAGGGGATAGAGGAGAAAGTTGAGAGAGTTGACTGAATTTTGAGAAATCATAATTTGAGAGCAAAAAGAGAAAAACAAGCTGAACTTTTACTTGAATAATTTCAGGTTGCTTTTCCTTGAGTGTTATTCAAAAATCAGTAAACTACTGCGTCTTGTATTCATCTCTCTTCTGCTTTGACTGTGATTGCATTCTGGTACTGCTGGTTTTCAATCTGTTACTGGGTTATTCTACTGGTC